ATGGTGGGCGCTCCCCTCCTTGGGAGGTTTTCAAGCAGGGGTTGGGTGGCCGCCTGGCAGGCAGATCGTGAGAGGGAAGCTCGGCTCTCGTGGCTCCTTCTTGTGTGTCCAGGGAAATGCCAGTTGCCACTTTGGGGTCAGGAAGGAATTCCCCTCCAGGCAGGGTTGGCCCAGGGATCCCAGAGGTATTCTGCCTCCCTCTGGGCATGGGGCAGGGGTCACTGTGTGTGTGTGTGGGGGGGGGGGGTGGTGGTGGTGGTGGAGGAGGTAGCTGTGAACTTCCTGCACTGTGCAGGGGGTTGGGTTAGATGACCCCTGAGGTCCCTTCCAGCTCTCTGGGCGAGGTGTTGTGCCTTTGGTGCAGCTGCACAGCCTGTGTCCAGGTGGCGCAAGGCAGAGACCATGTGCCCTTCGCTTCCTCCCTCCCTCCCTGTGGCCCCAGCAGCGGCCTGGGATGGAGGGGCGGGGCGGGGGTGGGGCTCCTGGAGCACAGAAGGTGGGGGTAGCCCTGGAGGGGAGGGGGAGGCTCCTGCGCCGGATTGGCAGGCCTCAGCGGGAGAAGAGTGACCGTCCTCCTCACTGACCCCCCCTTTGAGAGCGGCTCTCTCTTTCCTTTCCCTCGGGGGTGGAGGCTGCGGAATGGCCCGGTCTGGATGCTGAGCGGGCTGGCCGGGAGGAGGAGCAGGAGCAGCCCTCGCCAGGGGGACCGGGCTCTCCCTCGTGGCCGGCCGGACGTGGAGAGCAGCCGAGCAGCTCGGAAGAGGACAGCGAAGAGTACCAGGACTGCGAGGAGGAGGCTTGGCTGACCTGCTCCGAGGAGGAGGAGGAGGAGGAGGAGGAGGAGGCGACACCGGCAGCAGAGAGCAGGGCCCCAGCTGGGTCCTCCTGGGAGAGCGGTGCCGAGGCCCCTGGGCCAGGGATCCCGCAGAGCCAGCCCCTCCGGAACAGCGGCCGCCTCGTGCAGAGGGACGAACTGCTGGAGATATTCCGAGCAGGGAAGAGGGCCAAAGAGGGCGAGATCACCGTGGGGCTGGTGAGTCGGAGGAGGGGCCAGAACCGGGGGTGGCCCAGGTGCCTCGGCGTTTGCCCCCCGTGAGGCGTGGCTGTTCCAGAAGGACGGGCCAGTGAGGCTAGCGGGGCCCCCCGCAGGCAAGATCCCGCAGAGGCCCGCCCGAGCCGGAATCCTCCTGCTCCAGGTGATGATGTGGGTCTCCCCTCAGGAGGGAGGGGGCCAGGGAGCCAGGGCGGTGGGTGGTGAGGGGGTCTACTCTGAATGCGAGGGTCTAGCAGTGGAATGGGAGGGAGCGCCTCTGAGCATAGGCAGAGTGGGGTTCACTCGCTGCAGCCGGCCACACTCCTGCCTTCCCCCCCTAGGTGGGTTATCCCAATGTAAAAGAGTTCGACCATCAACACCCTCCTGGGAAGGAAGAAGGTGTCCGTGTCAGCCACGCCGGGTCACACGAAGCATTTCCAGGTATGGCCGGAAGCGGCAAGCAGGTCGCTGGGCGGAGGGGGAGGAGGGGTCGGTGGGCGTGGGCATGCCTGACCCCCGATAGTCCACCTGTCCTGCCTCTGCCTGCAGACGCTGTACGTGGAGCCCGGCCTCGTCCTCTGCGACTGCCCCGGCCTCGTCCTCCCCTCCTTTGTGGCCACGAAGGCCGAGATGGTCTGCAGCGGAATCCTGCCCATAGACCAGATGCGGGATCACGTCCCCCCCGTCTCTCTCATATCCTTCTCGCTCTTTGCCGCTGGGGAGGGGCAGGCTGCTGCAGAGGGGGTAGGTGCAGCGGTTGAGCGTGGTTGGCTCTTGTGCGTGGGGGCGGGGAGGGAGCCTCTCTACTGAGGACCAGCAGCCTCGGGGGGAGGGACGGAGCCCCCCTCTCAGACAAACGGGGATGGTTGTTTCCACTGCTGAAAGCCAGCTGTGGGGAAGGGGTTAAAAGTGGCCGACTCTAATCTGGAGAACGTGTGTGTGGGGGAGTGATTCCCCCCTCCCCCCCCCATGGAGTCTGCTGGGTGACCTTAGGTCCCGTTGCCCTTCGCTCAGAGCTCTCTCCGCCCCACCTGCCTCACAAGGGGCCTGTTGTGGGGAGAGGAAGGGAAAGGCGACTGTAAGCCGCTCTGAGACTCTTTAAGGGAGAGAGAAACAGGGTATGAAAACCAGCCCTGCCGGCCTTCTAATGCCAGGAGGGCAGGAAGTGTCGTGGAGGCACTGCGCGGGGGGTCTGTCTGGCGGGCTTGGGAGGAGGGGGCCTTCGAAGCTGTGCTCTTGGGAGGGGGAGGAGGCAGCCAGGGGAGCTGCGGAAGGCTTGGGTGAAGCAGGGCCCTGGAACAGGTGGGCACAAGTGGCGGAGGGAGAGGCCCCTC